TACGTATTGCCTGCATAAAATACCACATGGCTTTACACATAACTTTCTTCTTAGACTTTCACTGATAACTTAGCGTGTACTTACTTTTGAAATTACGTCATACCAGGCAGTAGAAGGGTAATTAAGTGGTCAGTAAATACCGTGGGTCATCTAGCAATAGGTGATCATGTTATCAGTTACTTATTTTTATTAGTAATAAAGTGGCTATTAAACGCCCTGGGTCACTGATAGGCGCTTAATTCTGTTATTAATTTTTTTTTATTAACAATAAAGTTTCTTGTAAACGCACCAGGTCATCTGATAATTGGCGCTTGTATTATCAATTATTTACTTGATTAAAAATAAAGTGGCCACTCAATAAAAAAAATCCATATGGATCGATATGGATTTTGTTTCAAAACGCCACATTCATGTAAAATTATATCTATAATATACGAATTGTGCCCTATCCTGTTTGCTCCACTAACATGAGGTTATGGGCCCACACCGTGAAAAGGGCAATTTTGTTGTTTTACACCGTACTCCAGTTTTAAGTACTTGTTCACACTTTGATCTCCGAACCATCCGTAACATGGCCACGTCATCGCAATCGACGTGGATGGCCGTTACCCGACTCACTGGAAGAGAAAACTATTGCCACTGGGCGCAATTTTTGTCGAAGCCTGGATGCAGCGCAACGATCTATGGGACACCGTTGAAGCCCCACCAAACTGAACTATTTCTACACAGACTCTGGTAAGCTAATTAAAGCGCGTGCATGTATAATTTTGTCTATTGAACCGACACTTTATTCTCATCTGCCCACGGATTGTAGTACCCAAGAAGCATGGACAGCGTTGAAGAAATTGTACGACGACTCCAGTCTTATGCGTAAAGTTACGTTATTGCAGAAAGTATCTACCAAGTATTGGACTCCACAGATAAACTCGCCTACATAGGGTTAAAATTACATACCAAATTAGTTGGGTCATTGTTGCTAGCTGGTTTACCGGTGCAGTACAAACCACTCATCCTTGCTCTAAAGGGATTAGGATAGGCAGTGACCGTAGACCTGGTCAAGGTTAAGGTTCTACAAGAAATCAAGATTGATTCTACCTCCGACGAGGTTTTTAGACACAATCAAATTATAAGCGCGTGAAAAAAACGATAAAAGTGAAAGTGTTTTTGGTACTAAAAATTAACGGTGTTTCAATTGCAATAAGTTCGGGTATATTTCCAAGAACTGACGTGCAAGGCTCCCAGATTTTCGGGAGTTCACCGCATGCGCAGTGCGCAACCACCCTCTCTCCATAGAGCAAGCTGGAGCGGGAGAGCCCCCCTACCCAGACCTTTAACCTAAGCTCCACCCACTTCTCATAACTTAAATATGACATCAAGTAAAAGTACAATCGACGATAGCCGCGCAGGCTAAGTCTTTTGCCCCAGTCAAACTTGCCAGCTTTCGAATCTCACTGATGAATTTTTTTTTTTTTTTTTCTCATCTGCACAATTTTTATACGTTAGGTTTTTGTATTAAAAAAATATTTTGTTGGTTTGTTGCTTTTGTACGCTTGGTATCATGCGACGAGTCGTCACTATAGACAATTTCAACGAAGCAAAATAATAAATTTTTTTTTTTATTAAAAAAATGCTTGTAGTTTATTGTTTTTTTTTCAATGTACGTTATACATAAAGTGTCATGACACGTTTATGTTATTATGTAAGCTCATGTATAACGTTTCAATACTAAGATAAAATTTTTAAAATACTATGTACAAGACAAGGTAAGTGAAATTATAAAACAAAATATTCGTCACGTATTAAGGAAATCAAAACATTAATATTTAGTGAATTAAGCGTCGCGTAATGATAATTAAAGTATTATTTAGTATTTAAAAATTACCAAACGACACGTCTTGATCATCGCTAATGTAATTCACATTCACGTTCGAAATTAAAAAAAGCCCGGAGAAAGTACAGAAAGAGCGCGCTGTATTAAACATACTCTGAGCGAAAAAAAAGTTGTTCATTTATTTAACAACAACTAAAAATTCAAAGATTTTATAAATTATACTATCTGAAATCAGCATGAATTTTTTTACTATTTTTTGTCGAGTTTTTTAGGGTACATATAGAAAAATATTGAGAAATTGCAGCATGAGCTTTTATGGCAATTCATATTTTTCGACCAGACTTATTTCCAAGAATAAATACTTGTAGCGAAGTAAGTTGTTAATGATACACCAATCAAAAAAAAGTTCGTGCAATTCGGGACAGATTAATGTATCAAACAGTCTTGCTTACCAACCATAATAATGTAATAGTGAATTACATTAACAATGGTCAAGACGTGTCGTTTGGTAATTTTAAAGTACTAAATAATACTTTAATTATCATTACTCGACGCTTAATTCACAAAATATTAATGTTTTGATTTCCTTAATACTTGACGAATATTTTGTTTTAAAATTTTACTTACCTTGTCTTGTACATAGTATTTTAAAAATTTTATCTTAGTATTGAAACGTTATACATGAGCTTACATAATTACATAAACGTGTCATGACACTTTATGTATAACGTACATTGAAAAAAAACAAAAAACTACAAGCATTTTTTTAATAAAAAAAAAAATTTATTATTTTGCTTCGTTGAAATTGTCTATAGTGACGACTCGTCGNTGCAGTTTTGCCAACATAATATGGCACGGGAAAATTAAAAATTCCTAACGCGGGAAATTTAAATATAAACATGTGGTCGTGTGGGGACCCTCACTACCACATGTTCACTACTGCTCTCCGTCTTTCTCCAACCATCCGCTAGGTGTCCAACCATTGAAGTTGACCTAAAAGATAAGCATTTTTTTAATAAAAAAAAAAAAAATTTATTATTTTGCTTTGTTGAAATTGTCTATAGTGACGACTCGTAGCATATACCAAGCGTACAAAAAGCAACAAACCAACAAAATATTTTTTTAATACAAAAACCTAACGTATAAAAATTGTGCAGATGAGAAAAAAAAAAAAAAAAATTCATCAGTGAGATTCGAAAGCTGGCAAGTTTGACTGGGGCAAAAGACTTAGCCCGCGGGGCTATCTTCGATTGTACTCTTACTTGACAAGATGTCATATTTAAGTTGTGAAAAGTGGGCGGGGCTTAGGTTAAAGGTTTGGGTAGGGGTGCTCTCCCGCTCCAGCTTGCTTTATGGAGAAAGGGTGATTGCGTACTGCGCATGCGGCGAACTCCCGAAAATCTGGGAGCCTTGCTGACGTGTACCACGAAGAACAAAAGTACACTTAAACAAAGCTCAAGAAAACAATACCGAGGACGAGGATGAAAAAGATATCGAAGCTACTTGCGCATTTCTCTCTGGTTTCGTCAATGCAAGATAAACAAAAAGCAAAAGATAAAAAAAATGTCGAGTGGATTCTTGACTCCGGAGCCTCTAGACTTATGTCCAATATTCGTAAAAATTTCAAAACAATTAGAAAATCGCATTAAACACATAACAGTCGCTAATAAAGAGAAGGGTAACGTCGAAGCTGAAAGAGAAGTTAAACTGATACCAAAAAATAAACAATGCAATCAGTGTGTGGAATTATCTGATGTGTTATATGTCCCTAATTTGAATTGTAATTTTTTTTCGGTTGGCTCGATTATAAACAAGGGCTACAAGGTTGAGTTTGACGACAATAACTGCAATATTTTGAACAAAAATGATGAAGTGGTTCTGCGCGGTAAGCTAAGCTAAAACAAAGTATAAAAAATGGATCTTGAATGTAACACCAACATTGAAACAGCATCAATTAATGAAGTGGGTGCTTTCGGCGCTGTCCCAACAGAAGACATCATGATGTGGCACCGAAGAATGAAACATTTAAACCAACAATATTTAAAAAAACTTATATATGGATGGCGCTGCCACAGGATTAAACTTCGACTCCTCTCAGTCCATCAGCTTCTGCTCATCGTGTGTGGCTAGCAATCATGTAAAGGCGCACTTCAAGTCTAGCACACAGCGTGCGTCTGGCAGACTTCATTTGGTGCACTCAGACATCTGCCAAATAGGTCAGCTGTCCGTTGGAGGAGCTAAGTATATTTTAACGTTTCTTGATGATTTTTCGCGAAAATTTTTTGTTTATTTTTTAGCTAACAAAATCCAAACCTTGTTATGTTTACGTCACTTCTTTAAGTACATCTATAATCAATTCGATATATCTCTAAAAATCTTAAGAACCGATAACGGAATGGAGTACATCAACAGCGGTGTCAGTAGTCTTCTCAAGGAATACGGCATACAACATCAGACTACCGTGCCGTATAATCCGCAGCAGAACGGAAGGGCAGAGCGAGTGAATTGCTCTCTTCTCGAAAAGATCAGGATGCATGCTCTCTGAGTCGCAGCTAAGCAAGGATTTATGGGCTGAGGCGGCAGCAACCGCTACCTACATAATCAATCGCTCGCCCAGGATTGTACTCAACGGAAAAACATGCGAGGAACTGTGGACGGGTTTCAAACCGAACCTATCTCACATGAGAGTCTTCGGCTGTCGAGCAATGACTTACAACCTACAACCCCAGTCATCGACGAGGCAAGCTTGATCCTAAGTCAAGACAATGTGTTTCCCTTGGGTTACAGTGCAACAAGTTAAGGATATAGGATGTGGAACGAGGCAGCAAAGAGGGTGATCATCGCCCGAGATGTCGTTTTCATCGAGAGAGAGACAAAATTATCACCAGTCTCACCTTTTCTTACTGTCGACTCATTGGCCGAATCCGACAAGACCACTCAGAAGCCAGAGGTCACTGATCAGCCACTGTAGCCGTTATAGATCGACCGGACTGAAGACAGTTCGAGTGACGGTGGGCTTACTGAACAAAGGCGTAGACCACAGCTATAGAGGAAGAAGCCAAAACAATTCGACAATTACGTCGTCTACGGCTCTGTCACTCGATCTGACGAGCCGTATACCTTCTCAGAGACAATAAACTCACCAGAGACTAACCAGGGGATTGATACCATGAAGCACGAGCTTCCTTTGCTCAAGGAGAATCAGACTTGGGATCTGTGTCAGGCTCCACTGGACAAGCCCATTATTGGCTCGAAGTGGATCTTCAAGAAAAAAAATGGACCTAGCGACAGTCGATCGTACAAAGCAAGAATTGTGGCGCGTGATTTTTCCCAGGTGCAGTAGTGAATTACCACGACACTTACTCACTGGTGGTGAGATTCGCTACGCTACGTTCCCTGTTCGCCTATGCTGTTCATCTCGATTTCAACATTGTTCATTTTGATGTTGAAACGGATTTTCTACATGGGGAACTCGATGAGGAGGTCTACATGAGAATGCCTGAGAGACAGCTGAGTGAAGAATCGAGCAACCAGGTATGCAGATTTTACAGGGCCATCTACGGCTTGAAGTAGGGTAGCCGAAATTGGAACAAGAAACTGAACCGTTTTTTTTTTGCGTTGCACTTAGAGCGCTCGCAGTAAGACCAATACATTTACCATCATTTATTATACAGCAATCAGCTTATTATAGTTGCTGTATTCGTAGATGATATATTGGTATTGACGAACTCACAGAAATACTTGGGCATCATTAGCAAGTCAATGAGTGACGCTTTCCCGGTCAACAACCTCAGTCCAGTGTAGAGGTTCCTTGGCCTTGAGGTAACGAGGGATCTTGTGAACGGCAGTCTCACTCTAGACCAGACGAACTATGTCAATGAAATCCTACAACACGACCAGATGGACGACTGCAACTCGTCACCTAGCCCCATGGACCCGTCATTGCGTCTTTTGCTGCCTTCCAATCTGTCACATTCAGATATTCGATAGCAGAGTGCTCTGGGCTCTATGACGTATTTGGTGCAGGGTACGAGACTGGACTTAGCCCATGCTATAGGATATTTGAGTCGTTTTAACCAATCAAACGACCAAACGCATTCGAACGCCGTCAAGCGAATTTTTAGATACTTGCGAGGGACTTCGCACTACTCACTCCCTACTGCCTGGTATTACGTTATTTCACTAGAAATTACACAGTAAGTTATGTGTGTAATCTCACGAAATAACTCATGTGTAAAGTCATGTGGTATTCCATGCAGGTAATTGGTTGGTAAATTTCATGTATAATGCTTGATGGCGTTCCACATGGCATTACACGTGGCATTACACATGGCATTACACATGGCATTCCACGTGGCATGTCATGTGTAATTACG